CCAAAACAACAAAACATAATTAACTCATTCTAAATAAATGTTACCTATACAGGGTGTTTTCTGCCTTCCACCCAATGACCGCTGGGATGGGCTCCAGCACCCCTGCGACCCAGAAGGATAAGTGGCTTAGATAATGTGTGTATGTGTGTGTGTGAGTGCGATAAATTGAATTCTGAATAGAAGCAGCTAATCATGTGAACAATCACAGAGATGGTGGAGCTCTCAGACAGTCAGACAGCCACAGCTCTTAATAAAGGTGACTACATGAGAATAAACATAACTAAATGCAAGTCTGACATATGGCAGTCATTTTCAGTTGTGACTGATGCAAATGGAAACCAGCTATTTGGGTCTGCGGGCGGGAGCGGGAAAACATATTTAGGTTGCAGGCAGTACAGAGTGGGATGAAATCTTGCAGGACTGAAAAATTGGTCCAGTGCAGACCTCTATTATAAGCCCTATCAGTGTGGCTGATGAATGTGAAAAAAAAAAAAACTATCAAGATTCATATTCATCCATGTCTCTTTAGAGGGGCTAGAATCTTGGCCATGAAGACCAAGGTCAAATTAGCTTTTAGACTTGTAATTGATGATTGTGATAAAAAGTGCAGTGATACTTCTGACTGACCGATTAATTTAAAATATAGGCTTTTTTTTAGCTGCCAATACCCAATGCTAACATTAGCTAAAGTCTCTTGCTAAAGTCAGTGCTTTAGTCAGAGATTTACCTAATTAACTAAAAGCTGAGTTCAAAGAATATGGGAAATTGATCAGCTAACATGGTCATCTTTGCAGGTTATTAGTTTGTAAGGAAGTATATTACTATAATTAGCCATCTTATCTGACTGCTGTCAGTTAGCCACCTAGCTAACTTATGTCCAGCCTAATTAGTTAACTTACTTGCTGCAAAGCAACAAGGCAATAAAATAATGTAAGTCTGGAGCTGCAATAATCTCTTTATATTCTGTTCTGTTTCCACTTCTTGGAATTGGTTTCACAGCCCATCTACCAAGTACATTCAAGATCCAGTCTTTCTTAATATCCATGAAACAGACCATTGGAGGTTTTATGTAATAGGACCAATTAGCTCTTCATGGATGGAAAAGAACCTGAGAAATGTACTGACTCATTAACTTGGTCCAGTTTTCAACTGGTAATTGATAATCATCTTCTAATGAGATGGCCACTAACTGCCATCTTTTTTTTTGTATATATAATTTAACTGCATTCACTTCGATGAGCAAAAGAATGCATATCAGGTCACACTGAGATAAGAGAAAGAATAAAAAAGACAAACTAAACAAAATAATGAAACCTCTGTAGAGCATTTATCTTGTGGAAAGCTCTGTCTATGCAGAGCGCTGTGTCATTTTAAAGAAGTGCTATAAATAGGATGGCATTCTATAGCTCGGGGAATTTTAGGGGGTCATGCTGTTATGTATAAAAGCAAAATCTTTTGGCTGGTAAACAAGTGAATATAAAAAGAAAACAAATTTGCCAGTTATGCATATTTGCATAAATGAAGAATAAACCTGCTTTGCTCTGAAGAAAAAAATTGCTGCAGATAAAAGTTCTTTGGGAACAAATTCTCCTTCTGGTTCTGTGCGAGTGGCTTTAGGAAACATTGTAATGCATGGCCCTTGTTACTAATATGTAGCCTAAAGCAGTTATTTAATGTTTTATACCTGAATTCTATCAGACAGGATCTGTATTGAGCTACTAAAATATAATAGTTACTAAAGTCTAGTAAATGTTGTTAAAAGTTTGTGGATCACTGCATGAAGGGATGTCACTGACCAAATACTTTTGCCTGAGCCTCATATAATGGAGTTTTAAGGCATCTTTAAAACCATGGATGTAGTAATTTGCTGAAAACTGGCAAGTTCCAATCTTTGGTTCACTCACAAGCTGCTTCTTTAAGCTGTAAATGTATTAAAGAAGGATTCTCACTGATGACAAACATAAAACATAATGGGTCAATGACATGATGTGCATGTTCATTTTTCTTAATTCAATAAATACTTGTTACATTATTTTACCATTATTTTACAAGTGAAAGCATTTTCAGGGCAGAGTTTTGCACTGAACTCTGCACTGAAAATTCTGATTTTCTCAAATGTCACGTGGCACAACCAGCAACAAAGCGCTTTTATTTTGGCATGCTTTTAAGAAAGAATGGGTATTGTACCAAGACCTTGAATGAACTTCATGGTGAGTTGCCAATGACAAATATTGAAAAAAAAATTAGTCATTTCTGAGTCACGGTTAGGCTGATTGAGAAAAAAATGTATTATAGACTTGCCAACCATGGGAAAATATTTTGTGCAGCGCTTTGAAAAAAACAAACAAAAAAAACAAAACAAACAAAAGAAAAACTTTTTTTTTTATTAATTTGTACATATTTCAGTTTATTTTTTACATATTGATCTTGACCACTCTTACCCTGTTAGATATCTTGTTTATTTCAGTCAAATCCCCAGGAGCAGCTTTAGTGGGAGGGATGGGTTCTAGGGAGGTGGGTGGTTTATGGCTGAGGGGTTAGGGGTAGATGTAGAGACATAGTTTTTGTAGTTGTATTTGTATAATGTAGTATGTTTGTGGATCTAAAAAAATTTGGAAAAAAAAAATATTTAGAACTATTAGCCACCTCCGCATTTAACCCATTCATGCAGTGAAACACCCACATACATGCACACTAGTGAACACACACTCACTAAGGGGCAGTGAGCACACTTGCCCGAAGCGGTGGGCAGCCCTATCCAAGGCACCTGGGGAACAGTTGAGGGTTAGGTGACTTGCTCAAGGGCACTTCAGTCACATACTGTCAGCTGAGGGGATCAAACCAGCGACCTTCTGGTCACAAGGCTGGTTCCCTAACCTCTTTCCAAAAAGCATTTGACAGCGCACACACGCACGCACGCACACACCGGTAACTTTCTAGGTATTGTTTTTCTGTGACAAACACACTCACTTTTTTCATCCGGCCATGATCTGCTCCTGTCATTACAGTTATGGATTTGGCTGCAATAATAATTATGAATGCAGTACTGTGAAAAGTCATGTTTAACAATCTGTGCAAAACACTAGCTTTTCACATAATTACATAATTACATAATTACGTGACGTTGGGCTGATACATACTGATATTAAATATTTTCCCAAGGTTGGCTGGTCTGTGTTAAGTTAACTCGATTCACAATTTCAGCTTTCCAGTCAGACGGAGTCAGGAGGGGGAACAGAAGAGATAAATACTGTATCATGTTGCTATCGGTGTGCAGTCTCTTGACATGATTGACATTTGCATTTGTTATCACTTGAGTGGAGTAAACCCAGCGCTATGCTTGGTCAAACTCTATCTTCTTCTGTTTATCGCGAGGCTGGACGCCGCCACCTACTGCTGTTACACTTGAATAATTGCATGTGCACAATTAAACTCACTAGCATTACCAGCTTGGTATCGATGTACATTGTCGAAATGCGTCAAGGTTGGCAGGTCTGGTGTTCTGATTATAATAATGTATATTCATTTGAACACAAAAAAAAACGTATATGCATAAACTTGAGCTCATGGCCAAAGACGTTTACAGGGGTCCAAGTACAAAGACTAGTTTATACATGTTTTGAGTGGTCATAAAATAACTGTAAAATATATACTTTATATGTAAAATATATACTTTGGAAAGTCCCCTTTAGATGTTTTGTAGGTACCTAATTTACTTTTCAAGTTACATTCAACTAAATATCTACTAATTTGACCTTTTTTTTTAACCTGGCTCTAATCCAATCCTTAACCTCAACTCAAAACCTAAACCAAACCCTCACCCTGGTCCTAGCCCTAACCCTGGTCCAAATCCTAACCCTAACCTCAACATCAACTCAAAACCTAAACCAACCAGCACTCTGGTCCTAGCCCTAACCCTGGTCCGAAATCCTAACTCTAACCTTAACATCAATGCAAACCCTAAACCCAACCCTCAGCCTGGTCTTAGCCCTAACCCTGGTCAAAATCCTAACCCTACCCTTAACATAGCCCTAACCCTGGTCCAAATCCTAACCCTAACCTCAACATCAACCCAAAACCTAAACACAACCCTAACCCTGGTCCAAATCCTAACTCTTACCTTGACATCAACTCAAAACCTAAACCCAACCCTCACCCTAAATCCTCCAACCTAAATCCTAACCCCAAGCCCACCACTGTTTAGAATCAAGTGAGTTTAGACAGATAGTTTGTTAATAATTTGAACAGCTGTAGATGATCTATAGTGGACTATAGTGGACTATCCAAATGAAGTGAAACCGCTTTTTAAAATGAATGTGTGGTTGTGTCACCTGACATTTTCTCAGTGGTATAATTGAAGTTTCCAGTTATAAAACGCTTTGCAGATACAAAAATGCACATCATATCCATATAAGAATGATCATTTTCAATGCCTCGTCATTGACCCAAATAAATAGATAACTAAATAAATAAACAGAATTTGATCTTCTTTTTTGGGAATTAAAAAATAAAAATAACCAAATGGTTTTATTTCATCGATACATTCTTGGACAACACCACAGTATAGTTGCATGAGTGGCCAAACGTAAATGTCTCCCACAATATTGGCACATAAGCAGCAAGGGCAACATGAATATACTTAGTACAAACAGTATAAAACATACATGCTTTTTATTTCATTTGAAATCTTTTTTTTTCATTTTTTTTAAATATATACTCATATTCATCTTTTTTTGTTGTTTTCTCCACAATTTCTCCATACGTTGCGGGGCAGTTAGAAATTCCGAAACAAATTAAAGCCATATTCTGCCTTGAGTGTGTGGATGTCTGAGAAAGGAGTGAAGAATAAAGTAAAATAAAAATCAATGAAAGTAATTTTTTTGAAAACAGGCCAAAATAACAGCCTTCTTCAGGTGACATATTTAGTTTACTTCAACATCGAACATATCAGGCATGCATTGACAACTGCTACGTGAACACCTCTTCAAAAAAAAAAAAGAAAAAAAATGGAACACTGTCAGTCAGAATTTAGATCTCGTATATCGCAAATTTTCTCAAAGTCACTGAAAACACAGTCGATGGTCTACAAACCCTCACGATGCAACTGACTTTCTGTAAAAGGTATATCGAATGTGAAGTGGATGCTCGTATGAATCAGGAGAAGGAAAAAAAGGAGCGCAACAAAAGAAAGAAAAAAGAATTTGGGAACAGGGTTGACATCTCAAAGAGAAGAATATGGCTTTAATATAATGTGCATCCAAGAGGCGAGGAAAAAAGAAGAAGAGAAATAAGAACAAAAACCTCCCAACGGAAAATGTAAAAAGTCCAACAGCAAAGGTAACAGGAATGCTAAAGAACCACACGAACTCGCACGGGGAAGTCTGGAAAACTTGCAGTTTGGAAGTACATGTAAAGACAAGAGGTGGCCCCCCCGGGCCCTGTGATCCTTTTGCTGTGCCATTGCCCTTAGAGAGACACCCTGAAGAAAGTTTCTCTTTTTTGAAGATTATCAGAGCAAAACGCCTTGAGAAAAGGTCTTTGCAGGGCCAGGAGCTGAGATCTGTGCCATTGTTGACTACCGTCCTGTCCATTATGTTCTGTCCAGTGTGTTTCCTCTGTTGGGAAAAATGGGACAAAACGAACCCCCAAACAAAAGAACATTTCTGCGAATTTTTTTGGAACATCTTGATTCAGTTGATGTTTTTTCTCTCCATTTTGTTTATTTATTTTATTTTTTTTGTCATCTTCTGGCTCATATCCAAGGACATATTAAAATATCAACTGATGTCCTCGAGTGTAGATACAGTACAGCCACGGACCCAATCACTGTCCTGGACCTTGGATGTGTGTGGGCAGTACACCAAAGGGACATAAAAGCCTTCTTCCTCCTCCCGTTTCTCCTTTTGCCCAAAAGAAAAAAAAAATAAGAACGGCAAAAGACCAAGCATCCCTCACTGATTGCTTCCCTCCTTTGATGGAGGTCCTTTAGATCACAAGGTCATTGTAGCTCACATACTTCTTCTTCGCAGCTGGACCTAGGAAGAGAAAAGAAAGATGACTTTTCATTTTGAAAGAATATTGAATTTTTTCTGTAGGGAAAAAAAGAAAAATCAGCAATTTATTGATCGTGAGAAGAAGGTTTGAGTTAACTTATGATTTTTTTTCAAGGAATTTTAAGAGAGATTTGTACAAGCTATTCCACATTTACTCAAACAAACAGGTATAAAACTGTAAGAAGTAAAGCATGACGTAAAATATTAATATTTTTGGCATTTTTGAATTTCAGTAGAACCAATGTTTCCCTTCTGTGTGATCACTGCTTTGCCTAGATTGTTTTTCAGGCTAGGTGAAAACCAAAACTACCATGATGTCATCAAACACACATGGGCAGAGCAGAGTCATCTCCCAGAATTCATTAAAAAAATTCAGCAAGTATATTGTACATGCATGATTTTATACTCTCTACTTATTTATTTTGTGCAACTGTGATTGATTGAGTTCACCAGTTAATTATTACCCAAAAAAAAAAATAATGTGCAACTGAATGTTTTGTTCATACTGGGACAAAAATTAATACGATATACAGTTGTATGCAAAGATCACATTACTATTACTATCTATTGTTAATTTTCTGAGTAAAAATGAGTGAACACAACGTCTAATGGGAACAAACTTAAATATGGCATTTTATGACAATTTTCCAATGCACCCTCATATTTGCTCAGTTTAACATATTAGGGAACAAAAAAACATAAAATATAAAGGGTGCTTTGACTTTTGCACAGCCCCACCCCAATATGTTAAATTCAGCAAATAGACAGTAATTGTGCATTCAAATGTGCTGAAGTGTTTTCTCTGTAGAGAATGTGTTCACTTATTTTCACAACCAACAAAAGAATTTATTTGACCAACAGTGTTATTAATTCCTTAAACTGTCTCTAAATACTGTTTAGACTGTGAAGTATAATTAACCCCAAACACACTGTTATAGGAAGTTGTCTGCAAATATCCAGTAGAGGGAGCTCTCAATGATTAAAAAACAGGCAAAGATGAAACACTTTGCTTGAGTTTCGTATCATTTATTAGCATTTGCTGAACACCATATTTCATCAAAACAACCCAAACTACTATTACAGTCTGCAGAAAAATACTGCTTCTTTAGAGACGAAGACATTCAGTGATCAAGGTGTAGTGTGAATAGACGCTACAAGACTGAGTTAGAGCTAAGTGAGATGCTGCTCACTCATGTCAAACACAGCTATAGGACACTATTATATCAAACATGCAGAGCTTGGAATTGAATGTAGTGGCTCTTTTGCTTTGGCTAAAAAATGACCATATAACACATAAAAGTGAACAAAAATGAGCACATATGACACCAAACCAAATAAAAAGAACATTACTCTTCTACTTACATCCTTTCATCCAAGCCAGTGATACTATTTTATGAAGGAAAAACAATGGTATTATAACCAGGGATGTAAAAATGTGATTAGTGGGCTGAGACTGATATGCAATACTTTTTATCTGCATAGCTATTGATGCCAAAACATACACTGCATAAAATGAAATCTAAGCACATGAAATATCTTAAATCTAGTCAATATATGTATTTTTTCTCATTGCAAGATTAATGAATTTTTTTTTTTTTTGTAACCTATTTCTCTATGTATGTATTTTAAGTAATTTTATTTAGTGAAAGTGCCATTCAGTTGGCAGATCTTGTTATTGTTATCTTGCTTTGAGAAATTATATGGACCATTTTCACTTAAAATAACTGAACCCTTGAAGAAATGTATAAAAATAGGTTAAATAATCTTATTATTTCAGCAACCTCACAATGAGAAACATTAAATATATTGATTACATTTAAGATGTGTTCTCTTGTTAAGATATCATTTTTGCAGTGTAAACACAAAAATGTAGAACGTGGGACTAAATCCACCTGGATTAGCATTACAGAGAAATGAAAGGATTATAAATGCCGTAAAATGAATCAAATTCAGATATTTTAGCTCAGTAGCCCAGCGTCACCTAAACCAGCATTTCTCAAACTGTTGTAGTCTAAGGCCCTCTTTGTGGATAGTACATGCCACTACTTTCACTTCATGAACGAGGATCATATCTTGAGCCCTGTCCATTTTGCTAGCAATTGCTGACCTGTACATAGAGACACAGTTCTCTGCTACAACATCACAGAGCAATATGGCCATGAACTGTGATTGGTTGCCAACATATTTTAATGGTGTTTAACATTATTTACCATTTTTAGCACTTTTTTAGACATGGCTGAAATGAATTTAATATTAAACAATATTAATAACAATATTAAACTTATTAAGTACTCTCTTCAAAAAGATTGTTCTTCATGGGTTCTTTAGTGAAGACAATGATTTTATTTAGAACCATGAGTTCTATATAGAACCATTTCATGCTTAAATGGTTCTTTGTGTGGCGAAATTGTTCTTCATATTGATGGAGAATATCTTCTAGAGGGTTCTAGAATTTTACCAGGGGTGGCAGGTAGTTTTGGCAGAGGGGCACTATGAATGTGCAGTGGGGGAGGGGGTTGGGGTGGTTTCAATGTATGATGGGGAGGCAGTGTTTGTAAGCGCAAGTGGGGGGAGGGGGGGTGTCAGTTCCACTGTTCACCAATACTACTCGCTAAGAGAAAGTGCGAGCACAGTGGCCTGAGTGTTGTAGAGTTGTTTCACTAATCGCTGATAGACACATGCACAGGGGGGCATTGCAGGGGGGATGAACATGTGAGCGCAAGGGTGGAGAGTTGTTCTGTCAGCAGCAAACAACTCCTCTTGAAGGCGTAAAAACCCACCCCAGCGAGATGGAAGCCAGTGACCTGGCAGAAATTTTGCTGCGACATTTGGGCCAGTCAGATTCAGGGAGGGCCATGGCCACCCCAGCCACCCCTTTGGAACTGTGCGTGTACAGCTCCAAAAAGTGTTCTGTTATTGTTGCAAGCCTGACAATAACAATAGAATTAACAACAGAAGAACCATTTTGGTGCATTTCTTTTACTAAAGAACCCTTGAAAAAACATTTTTTTGTGTGGAGATCCAACTTTTGAAAATTTTCTGCAGCCTCCCAAGAGGTCATAGCCTCCAGTTTGAAAACCACAGACCGAAGCATTCAGTGCTTCCAGAGTACACTAAACACATCATCCAATATCAGGTTGAAATATCGTCTGGATCTAAACATCTGTTCAATGTCGACTACATATTTCAAACAATTATCTACCGACACCAACATGATTCTGAAATCAACATTCATTCCTAAACATAATTAGTGAAATGTTGTTCTATGTGCCTGAAAACGTAATTCAAAATTCTAAAAGAAAACTCTGCAGAATCCACAAGAAGCTCTTTGGAAAAACACTTCCAACAAAAGAAGAAGCAATTGCGATTTTGATTAGACAGATTACAATTTTGGCAAAGAAAAAAACCTAAAAGGCCTTAATGCAGCTGTAACGGTCTGACCTTTCCAACTCTGAGTTAATGTGTTTTTGGAGCCTCTCTGTAACTAATAGAGTTAATCCTGGTATTATCATGTTTGTTTTTCCCAGATACATTTTTGAACTCTTTTGCAAGTCAAAGTATTTCCTAATCTTTAAAATTAAAGGTCAAGAAGCGAAAAGATCATAGTGACCTTTAAGTTTCAGTTACTCATCACATATTTGAAGTAAATGTCACTTCTCCAAAAAAAAAGAAAAAAAAACACGCCTTCTGAGAGATGTGTCCTTGATAAAGGCTGGATTTAATTAGGCATTGTCAATATTAAATATATTAAACATTATGATTCATTCATGATGAAGGTTTGGAGGAGGTAAGGGCGACCTAACCTAATCTTGCTTCGTGAGTGAGAGACAGAAAAGGAGGTAGAAGAGAACGCACACGTTAATATTTTATCACAGCGCTGTTACAAAGCTGAACTGAATTTCAACAGAAGTGCTTCAGAGTCTTTAAACTTGCAAGGAAAAGACATTTTTCACTGTAATTCTCACAGCAAGGTACCCTTGAGTGGGACTTAAACACAGGCACTTTAGGAGTGTAGTTGGCGACGGCATCTTGTAAAACGGGGCACTGGGAAAGAGAGACTGACCCCTGTTTAAAATCTCATTTGGCTGGACGGCCGACGGTGCCTCAACACAGCGGCAATCCTGCATTGCTGCACCTAATGAATCTTCAGGACGGGGGGGAAAGAAAGCCATTATCTGGCGCCTGACCTCAGGCAGGACATCCGTAAAGCAAGCGGCTCTATAAATGCCTCTCATCTCTTTTCTTCAATCCACATGGGAGAGACTGAGGTTCTGCCAAACTACTGCCTGCTGTGGATGGAGGAGAACAATTACAGTGGAGAATGGAGATGGATCTGAAGCTCTTCTTTTCAGAGCAGGTGCTCTAACAAGAGCATTCAGCTTCTTGGATGCTAAACAACTAAACAGTAGACCAGAACACACTGATCGGTTGCAAGACTCATTAAGATTTAAGGACACTGCCTTTTTTTTTTTAATTAACATTATTTAGGGGTGGTTAATATGACGATATGTTGTGTTATCATGATAAATTGTCATGATATACATACCGGAGTATATCATAGGTTATCTCATCAGTACTTTTAGAGCATTGGACAACTCGATGGATCATTATTTAGATGAAGAGCAGCTGTATAAACTGCAATGCAGCAAGTAGCTCAATGGACAACAGCCTATTATGCCATTTTTCGAAGCTGCATTTAAATACAGTCAAGAGTATATCATAGATAAACTCACCAGTACTTTTAGATCATTGTGCAATTGTATGGATCACCAATAGAGCAGCTGTATAAACTGCAAAGTAACAAGTAACTCAGTGGACGGCAGCCCATAATGCCATTTTGTAAAAAGCCGTGTTTAAATAAGTTCCTCAGAAAAAACAAAGATTTTCATACACATTGTATTTTGTGATAATTGTGACAAACATGCTAAGGAAGCCTAAGTGACCTTGATTTTAGATCAAGCTGGCAAGAGGAGACGATCTAA